AAGGCCGAAATCGGTTCACACCTGCTCTGCAGGTGTGAACACAAAGGATTCGCTGTATCTACTCAGCTGCTCCGCTCACACTTGCCTGTGAAGTGTGAACAGCGGATTTTGAATCAGCGTTCTCCTCGAACGATATCGGTGTCGAAACACCGCTCTGACAGCGCTCACGCTGTAGCACCCACTAAAGTTTGTTTATCAAGACGCCGCAGGACTCCTTAGCAAGCAGTACCACGGCAAGACGTGCGGCACTGCCAAGCCGGGGCCCGGTGGCCGCTGTCCGAACGAGGAGTGCGCGATGAGCAAGCCACCAGAGGAGCGCACCGAAGGGCCGTCGAAGAGCGCCGTCAAGACCGAGAACAGATGGCGACCCATCTGCCGCCGCGCCAAAGAGGGCCACAGCCAGTCGGCGCGCTGCCACAAGAGAGGCACGATGCCGCCGCTGCGCGCGTGGGCGTTTGTCGGCTCGTGCCTTCGCGGCACCGGCGTGGCCATGTTCGACTACGCCGACTACGGCGAGACGCTCCTCAAGCTGCCGGCGCCTCACTTCTTCTGCATTTCCGGTCCAGGAGGGGGAGACGAGGACAAGTTCCGCGAGCGGTTCGGCAAGCACAAGGTGACGATGCTCCCAGGTTGGCCGAGCACGCAGAGACTCGATGAGCTGCTGCGCCCGCACAACGTCTCGCACGTTTACCTCCACAAGGCTGGCGGCAACGACGGCATCGTTGCCCGGACGGCCGTCAACCTGGTCCACGCGGTATTCACCGGCAAGCATCCTCACGGCGATCGCTACGCGCGGATTTCGTCCTTCGTGTCGAACGGCGGCCACGTGCCCGTGGTGCCGTACCTCGTGCGGCCGCTGCCGTCCGGCAAGACGCACCGGCGTAAGGCGCTCCGCATCGCGCCGACCACGACCGTCCTCTGCCGGTACGGCGGCTACGAGACGTTCGACATCAAATTCGCTCAGCTGGCGGTGGTAGAGGCGGTCAAACGGCGGGCCGACCTCGAGTTCCTTTTTGTCAACACGGCACCGTTCGCGCAGCACGAGCGAATCCGCTTCCTGCCCAAAACTTCGACAGACGCGGCCAAGGCCGACTTCATCCGCACCTGCGACGCGATGCTTCACGCCCGCTCCGGCGGCGAGACGTTTGGCCTGGCGATTGCCGAGTTTGCGATGCTCGGCAAGCGCGTGATAACGGCACGAGTGGCGCCGAGTGCGGTGCACATACAGGAGCTGGGCGAGCGGGCTATGCTCTTCCACAGCTACGACTCGCTGCTCGAGCTGCTGCTCGCCTTCGATCGCAACGCGCACCTCGACCCCGAATGGAACGGCTACGCCAAATACCGGCCCGCGCACGTTATGCGCATCTTTTACGACGTCTTCCTCTCATGAAGCACGATGACTCATTGCACGACGTACCCTTCCTCTCATGAAGCACGATGACTCATTGCTGCCTGTGTTCGCCGATGCCACATCTTGGCGCCGTATATAGCGAGTAGCCCACCCCGACGTATTTCTTTTTGTCGAAGAGCCCCTGGCGAGTTGTAGAAGCGGTGGCACTGGTTCTTGCGCGCAGGCCGAGCGGCTGCAGAGACAGGGACGGGAGGCGGGTGAGCAGACGGAGAGAGAGGGCGATGTGGGCGAGGCCGAAGGCGTGAAGGCTGAAGCGGAGGCATGGCGAGCGCAGACGGGTCTCGGGTGTC